GATTATTATATTTGGTGTTTTGGAACTTACATATACAAGGAATAACGAAACAAAAAATTAAACAAAATCTTTCAAAATATAAATCAAATAAATTTTAATATCCTATCTAAGTTTATTTTTTTTTTGTTTGCTTCATCATATATTTTGCATTTCACCTATCTAATTACTTATTCGAGCAAAGCCTTACAGTATGTTTTTATCATATGATTATATATGTTCGAAGGAAGTAGTATTAGAAAAGGCAGCGATCTTCCGATCGGCAATCATTATATATGGTTAAATACGTTATAATCTATAAGCACTTAGGTATAAATGATTTACTAGCATTATATGTACCTATATCCTAAATTTGACTAGCTAAATTATATTTGTGATATCAGAGGTCGTACCTCTGTTGGTTAATGTGGTTATACAAAAAAAATGTAAATGATTTTTTTATATTTTGCAAGTTGAAAAAAAAAATTCAAAATTATTGTTGTTTAAATAACGTTTTGCCATTTTCGTAATATTTGAAATTTTTAACAATTTTGTTAAAATTACTCATATTACAAATGTATTTTGACAGTTAATTTTTTTGCAAAACTTTTTTTTGTACATCCAAATTACTCCCAACTCCATTATTGACTGAATGCCCGAAATTGACATAACAATTCTCATGTAAAGAATTTTCACACTTATTGATTTTTTATACGGGTCTTTTTTGCAAAACAAATATTTTGTGTAGCAAAAATGTATATCAATGCCATCTAAGAGAACAAAGAATCTTAGTTTATTTTTTATATACTCAAGAGATTGACGCCATTTTTTTGTTACTTACTAATCGGAGTTAAAATGTTTTAAGTTCATTATACTTTTATTAAGACTAAGCGGTACTTATATGTATATGTTGGAAATGATTAAATACGGGTACCTCAATTTTTAAAACGACTGTAAATTCTGTTAATTTACCATTATCCTACACTATTATTATAATAAGTTTCGTTTTTTTTTTTCGTAAAACTCGAAGATTGTCAACAGTGACAGTGACAGATACCAAAACCAGATAATAGATACAAATTAAAAAAGAAGCAAATAAGTTTTGCACACCTAAATTGTTTCGTAAACCTGAAAACAGATGGCGTTAGGAGCGCCTCGTACATTTCGTTCTAGAATTATTTTCATCACATGTTGCGATGGTTAAGTTAGATTGTGTATATATGTATACCTACATATAATTTATAGGAAAATAGTACGACAGTTATAGAATAAGTGTGAAAAGTCTTTGAAGTATGAAATAAACAATGTATATATGTATATATATTATGTAGAATAGTTTTTTTAGTATATATTAATATATTATCATCTTAATTTATAAGTTTCTAGCGATATGTCTGCCAAATATTTTTCTACACGCTCAAGAACCAAATTAAATCAGCTAACTTTTTAAAATAAAACCTCTACCAGTGAAAACTAAGTATCTGAACAGTTTTTGTTACTTCTTTATCTCATTCGCACTTTATAGTGTTGTCTCTTTCCTTTACCCTCTACAGAAATTGTAAGTGAGTGAGTGAGATGGCCAAATACTCAAATCGGTGGTAGTCACCATTGACAATTAAAATAAACGAGTGTAGTTTACTGTAATCGGATATGATATTTAATTAAATTATACGCTCCTGAAGCAAAAACTTAATTAAATTGGGTCTGGAATCAGTGTTTTTTTAAATTAAATGTATAATTTTGACGAGAAAATTCGTCAGTATTTTTACAAATGAGTGGTAAATTAAGGGCGTTCAAGATGACTGGAAAATAAAAATATTCTTCACCCGACTTTAGATTTACAAATTTAGGATTACAAAATTGTACGTTATTTTTTACTGTTTTACTATTATTTTTGGTTAGTCAATTGCGACTTAAGTCAACAGCAACGACTCACGAAAACATCTTTTAGTCAATCGGGACTTAGTACGAGATTAGGATTCGTTTAGTCAACCGTGATTTCATTCAGTCTATTGAGGCTTTTGATTGCAGGAGTTACTTACAAATTGTCAACCATGAGCGTTAAACAACAACTTCGTTTAGTCCACTTTGAGATGATGATGAGATTGATGTAATAGATTTTCGATACGTACAATTTTATTATATTTATTTTGCTATGTGTTGATCTATGACTATAGAGTCTACATAAAATACGACTTCAAACAATTTTTTTATGAAATAATAATATTTTGAGTTTGAGTTTGATCTATTTTGACAGTTAATTGCGACTCAATTGCGATTCAAGTATGACTCAACTAGTAAAACCACTAGTCATTATAAATTGAATAGTCTCATTCACATTAGTGTTCAAATAAATTTTCGGTGAGTTAATTTGGACTTAAGTCAGTTGATTGGAGGTTTTGAAATGTATCATATTTTCCATTCAGTTGGATTAAACTGTGATTAAACAGAAGTGTTTCGAAATTGACGAAACCAAAAATACCAAGGAGTCTAACAGAGGCGCCATTAAACCGATACGTTTTGTCAGCCCATTTTTTGTGCAACATTGCCGAGATAACCTTTTGACATGAGAATTATTTAATTTCTGTAAAGAAGTAACAAAAAACCTCTCAAATACGTACGATATAGTTAATTTAATAATTTTTGTATAAAATATGATTTTTATACATAGTTCAAATCGCACGATACAAGCGTATCGTTGACCAAAATGCTTCAAAAAAGACTTTTACACATAACTACAGCATTTTTATATAAACACTAGCCTCATTAGAGGGAAATATTAAAAGAAAAAAAGAGAAAAAACTCTCTTAGTAGACCCAAAAAATAAAAGTTTAAAAAAAAGTTGCCAAAATCGCGCTACGCACGCGTTTCCAAACCTTATTATGAGGGAATAGAGTTTTTTTTCTCGTTACAATTTCCTCTAACTACAGTAAACGGGTATTACACTTACTCGCTAATCAATAAATATTTTTTTTTTCACTTATAAGTTAATATTAATAAATAAATCTAACTTCTTCGCTACTTTTTTCGGATCAGTGTATCTTTATCTAGACACAACCTTTTTTATTTAACAGTATTATTTAATTTTACGGATCTCTGAATTTGGCAATGGCTTTCCAGAAAGAACAAAAAAAAAAAGTTTGTGAAATATATGAGCGACTTTGAAAGCCGACTTCGATTCTACGTAAAAGTCGAATGTTTCGACTTTGACACTTAATTAACTAATCGAAATGTCGGTAGTGTGCGCATAAGAGAAAAAATCTGATTTCTCGATGTCTTGCATGTAATAAATTACCGACTCACGAATCTCGTCTAAAGACGTTTTTTTTTTTCACCGTTAGTACGACTGTCCAGACTTGCGACTTTCATAAAAGTCGACTTCACTTTTTGATTGAAGTCAATCGACTTTCAACTCGTACAAGCTCAAGCCGTAGATAAAAGTCGTTGCGACTTATTCGAGTCATTTCACAGAGACTCTTCAAAAAACCACATCCTTCTTTTTTAAATTTGTCACCGACTTTAATCGGACTTAGTCATAAATCCGACTCGCCTCTAACCATCTCAAAAAAGTTTGCCCTATTCATATTACTACCTCTCCTAGCGTTTCGGAGTATATAAAAGTTTTTTTTTTTTATAAAATGTTCTCACTCCGATGTTCAAACTATTTTATACTAAACATATCTCCAAAAATCTAATTTTTTACTCATTATTTTTTTTCCTTATTATTACAACTTCTTGTGCAGATGGTTCAACCGTAAAAAAAAAACTTTTTTTAATTCGCAACCCCGTTTTTGGCCCGCGTGGTGATATCTCCTTATTATTAACTTAAATAATCTTATGTTTAATTTTATATATATTTTCTAAAAGTATGTGTTTTATCATTACGCCTTTACCATGGATTCATAAGCAGCAATAGAGTAAATTTTCAATATTTTTTGACTCACATTTTATAATATTATTTGCATTTTCAACCCCACGAGGGCGCATCAAGCCATTTCATAACCGCGTATTGCATCATACAGGTTTATTTCAATAGTTTTTTCCAAACATTAATAACAAGAAAATTGCGGTAAAATAAAAACATTTTAAAAATAAAATGTCAATAATTGACTAGATTTTTTTTTGGAGTTCGTTTGTGTAAGTTTTAAAATAAGATCCACGTTCCCAATAAGAGTTAATTGTTTGAAGTTACTTAATTATATACGTACTTACTATTTATATTAATTTAGCGAAAACTTTCTTAAAATAAATAAAAAACAAAACCTCAACTTATACACGAATCAAATATAATAGCATTAACGATAAACGTGTATTTTTTAGATCAACAATTAAAAATCAACAGAAATATTTCTACATAACTCAATAGTTTTCATGGTAACATCAAATACCCATTTTTCTTGAAGAAGTAATTTGGTAACACTTAAAGATTTAAGTATTATATTTGAAAGACTTTAAATTAATAATAGATATATTACACTTAAGAGTCGGTAACAGTTTTATAAAAAAAATTACGAAATTTTGTAACTCTGTTCATAATGCTAAAAATGTCTTAAGTCCTTAAACAAAAAACGGAAAAATAAGTTTTTTTAGAAACTAGTGAAAGCTATTTTAAATATAATATCTATCATGGACTTATAATCCAAATATTTCGTTTTCACTAATTTAAATGGTTTTTAACTTAGACACAAGACGACATTTAATCTTTCAACGCTAAATCAGAAAACAATACGTTTTAAAAAATTATTTCACAACATAATATTTCAATAATCACTGAAATTTTACAACTTCAGTCACTTAATCATATTAAATAAAAATCCTTCAAAATTATTTTCAAAATACAAACACATTGCGTAATTTAAAAAATCAACTCACATTCACCAACTCAATTTCAAAATCACCGAATGCATCCAACTCAATTTTGTCAATAAGTTTGATCACTGTAAACAAAACGTGGCTAATCGAATTTAGATCCAGTCTTTGTGCACGCAGCAGCATTGAGGCTCCGCTGGGGGCGCCCGCTGGCCTCACACCAGGAGACTCGGAGCTAACCATTCATCTTCACCGATCTGAAATGATTTCAAACTAGCTGAGACCCACGGTGTTATCCGCGTTTGTTGTTATAACCGCGAGCAACGCCGCGGGGCGAAGCTAGTCTAAAAAAAGTAGCCTAAGTTACTCCTTATGTCATCAGCTATCTGCTAGTGAAAGTCCCGTCGAAATCGGTCCAGCCGTTCCAGAGATTACCCGGAACAAACAGACAGACAGACAGACAGGCAGACAAAAATTGTAAAAAACGTTATTTTGGCATATGTACCTTGTAAACATACATATGCATTTATTTATTTGTTTTGAAAGTACTGGTATCGGTACTTTTATATGCATTTAGTAAACAGCGGTTATTTTAATATTACAAACAGACACTCCAATTTTATTTATTTGTATAGATGTAATTAATATGTATACATATATAATTTAATAAAGAGAATAATATTATAATAATATACCTAACACATCTCACACACGGCCGTCTGATCCCAAACTAGGCAGAGCCTGCACTACAGTAACCAGACTACTGATAAACATACTTATATATTTTTAAATACACATATTGTGTATACATATTTATGTATAAGTATAGATTAGTATATATATATATATATATATATATATATATATATATATATAGACCTTATTTATTCCTCTAATTTCTATATACCTATCACCAGTTCAAAATGAATCCATCCAAAGGTTGCCTGGAAGAAATTGCACTAAGCAAGAAGGCCGCCCTTTGTAAATTACATCTGTTGTTAATTACTTTATAATGTCTGTAAAACCCTGGTGTGCAAATAAAGTATTTATCTATCTATTATAGATAAATTACACCCAGACACAGAACAAATGACCGTGCTCATCACACAATATTTGTCCTAGGTGGGAATCGAACCCACGACCTCCGGCTTAGCAGTCAGGGTCACTAGGAATAGGAACCCTATCCCAAAAGCGCTAAACAGAGACGTATTTCCTATAAACTTACTATAAGCTTAATATATATTTACTATAAACTTAGTCCGTGTTGTGACGGATTAAGAATACGGAGTGTGACCACCCCTATTCATCCCGTGGGTGTCGTAAGAGCCGACTAAGAGAACAAACTACGCAGGACAACAGCACTGCAAAGAGAAGGAAAACTTGAAACAAACCCTATACCAACCCAACTGGCCAGCGTGGTACAGTAGGCCAAAACCTCCTTTCTAAGTAGAGGCCTATGTCCAGCAGTGGACTATTAAAGACTGTTGATGATTGCTGATGATGATGATTGCGGGTCTACTGCATGCAGATACAAAGTAAGTTATTGTATTTTATGTCATAAAATACATATATATGTATATTTATCACTTACGGGCTGCACTTGAAAATGCTGCACAGCTGGGTAATGCAAGACCTGAGGGGGCTGAGACATAGCAGCTACCCCCCCGACAGAGCCTACGCCCCCTACCGCGCCCCCCAGAGCCCACGGGAGCTGAACGCCGCCCATGCTGGAACAGGAACCAGTGTTATTCCATCCATAGTCCTTACTGTGAATTAAACGGAACACACTTGACGTATAGTTATCATAAACATTAAAAGAGATAAGATTTGGGTTAATAATATTATACTCGTAATGCTGAGGAATTTGTTTGCTTGAACACGCTAATCTCAGGAACTACTGGTCCGATTTAAAAAATTCTTTCAGTGTTAGATAGCCCTTTTATCAAGGAAGGCTATAGGCTATATATTATTACGCTAAGGCCAATAGGAGTGGAGCAACAATGAAGAAAGTTTCAAAATCTGTTTTTTTTTTCCTTTTGAGAGCTTCCGCTGCGTGCGCTGCGTAAACGGAGATAGCTCCTTAACTTGCGTATTATTTGAAAATATTTACATGTAATACGTAAACGAAGTCGCGGGTTAAAGTTGGCTTTAGCCCAATGTAACTATTCCACGCGGACGCAGTCGCGGTCAGAAGCTAGTATAACATATATACCCCCCTTTCAACGCAGGACCTCAACATATTTTATTAACAAAAAAACAAAATTTTACACTTAAAAACCAAATTATTCTTAATTTTTGACAATAGAACTGCAAAGAGAAGGAAAACTTGAAACAAACCCTATGCCAACTCGTCTGGTCAGCGTAGTATAGTAGGCCAAAACCTCCTTTCTAAGGCAAGGTCTTTGTCCCGCAGCTGACTGTTATAGGCTGTTGATAATAAAGAATGAACGAATCAGGGTTCTGAATGAATATTTGGAGAATTTTCATGAAATCTATTCAAAATGACTGTAATAATTAAAACAAACATTGTCTTGAATGCCTTAATACATTCACCGATTTATCTGGTGTTACACAGGTTAGGTTACAAGTAAATCTACAAAACACTGACCACAGTCACACACACGTAGTCTCTTACACACAAAAAAAATTGGTTGCCTGTAAAGTCGGTATACGGGCGAAAGTTTTACGTGACAACGACTTTGAGTGGTAAAGTAATTTTAATGTGAATATTCATTCGTATAGTAGGAAGAAGGATGAAATAATAGTAACAATTTAAAACATTTATTTATACAAAGAATTAAATTTAAAAAAGGGACGCGTGCCTTTCACTTTTTATGTCTGTCTCTCTCGCTCTTAGGCGGGCTAACCATGCCCGAGTGGAAGGGACGCGTGCCTCTCACTCGCTCTCATTGTGAGCGCATAACGTGAGCGGAGCGTAACGCAATTTCTTGAAGTGTCACCCGGCAAACCAATTTATAAGACGTTGTCACGTCAAAATGGTCAGAGCACTCGCAGTATGTCATCCAATAGCGCTGTTGCTCTTCGAACATTTACACACACACACACAGAAATGGTCACAGTAACTCACCCCATATATTGCTGCTGGTAACCACCGAATTGTCCAGCATAGGTATACCCTTGGACTCCTTGAACTCCTTGCAGGAAGCCTCCCAGCTGCTGAGGGTAGGTGTTGTACCAGTAAGAAGTAGGCGGAACTCCACCAGCTGTGTAAGCTGCTCCGAACGGACTGTAAGCTGTTGGGAGCTGCAAGAAATTATTATTTTTTAATCGGAGCTCTTTTGTGACGTCATAACCGGAGTGATTTAAAATTAAACTTAAGGGGAATTACCCCGTTCATGTAAAATATTTTATAATAAAAGTAACTTTATACATTTTATACTCCCAAACTAGACAGAGCCTGTACTATGGTAACCAGACTGCTGATAAACATACTTATATATTATGCAATTACATCCAGACACAGAACAAATGATCCTGCTCATCACACAATTATTAGTCCTGCGTGTGAATTGAACCCAAGACCTCTGGATCAGCAGTCCGGGTAACTGACTACTAGACCAACAGACAGTAGTGCAGCAAACAATCACAGACTCCTCACAGTTTCTATCAGCATATTAAATACCTATTCAATTACCACTTCCAGTGAATTCGAAACCCCAGACTTTTGACGAAGTCCCCCTTGTCTTTCCAGCTTCGCAGACAGGGCCACTAGACCTAGGCAGCTTTAATAATTTAAAAAAAATGGTGAAAGGGTTCAAACTAGCAGACGGGTCACCTGGTTAGGAACTAGGTTAGGAGCCCATGGACACCTGCAACTTAAAAGTCACAAGTGCGTTGCTACCCTTGGAGTCCCTCCTGCTCGAGTCAGCAGGAGGGGTATTTGGGCTTCGGTAACCTTACTCACTCAGTGAAAGGCAACGAAAGATTTGCTAACACCGGTTTTCTGTCAGGCCGTGATATCACTCCGGTCGAGCCGGCCCATTCGTGTAGAAGCATGGCCCTCCCACGTAAAAAAAATCATTTACTTAGACTCAGTAATTATCTAGCCTAATTCATTATATTTCAATGAAAAACTTAACTAGAAATTCACAAAGTAATATCAATTAAATATACGGACTTATGAATAAATAATTTTCATTATAATTTGTGTAAAATAATTCTTTTACGCATTTCCATTTAAAAGAGACTAATTAAAATTAAATATTCAAAATTTCTTTGCTATTGAGATCGTAATTTAATTGATACGTAACGTTTGGGGGCAAAAAGCCGGGGTCATGGGGTCTATTAGGTTTATAAGGGTAATTTTTCTTGAAACAAAAACCTACAATTTTTTTACCGCTCGAGAACTATGCTTCGGTAAGTTTGTGTCGTCTCGACCGACTTCACAGAACACTGGTGTTTAGCAAGTGTTTTTTTAAACTCAAAATACCATTATTTCAAAAATTAAATTAAAAAAAAAACTCGACACATCTGTATCTGAAATTTGTCATAGTGTATTGTAGTATTCTCCTAGTCAAGTCATTTGATACTCATATTGAGGGAGCTGTGAAACAATATATGATCCGCCATTTTGTGGCGGCGGCCATCTTGGACCGATTTTCATCAAACATAGCTAAGAAGGCTCTCGACTAATTCACCTAAGGATGCCACTGACAGACAGACACACAAACACACGTCAAACTGGTAACATCCCGTCGTTTTGCGTCGGGGGTTAATAAAAAGTTCAAGTTCTTTGAAATCGTCTGTTTTGAATGAAGTCAAATTTCAACATACACAATAGCAACAATCTCTGTTTTGACATTTATTCAGCAAAATAAATATAATAAAATTATACGTTTCAAATCTATTATATGCCTGTGCCGATCTACAACCGCCCGTTTCCAAGGGGTTGAGGCTTATGAGAAGAAAGGGCAAAGAAACTCATGGCCACTCTTTTTTAATTAACAGATAGATACAATGCATAACTTTCGTTGCATTTCACCGAGGGAGTGGTAAGAGGAGCTCAACTTCCCTGGTATGGGGGGGGGAGCCCCAATATTGGGGGGGGGGGGGAGCAAAAAGTGGCAACGAGATTGTGACTCTTGAGTTGCAGTAGTCAATAGGCGGCGGTGGACATTTACCATCAGGTGAAGCAACAGGCCATTATCACCTGTCCTCCAGTATTCTCCAGGTTCTTACCTGTCCTTGAGCCTGAGCATTATTGGGGTCACCAGACTCCTTGCCCCAGGAGCACTTGACTGGCTGGCCGTTCACATCGGTGTTGTGGACCGCTACGATGGCGTGGGTTGCGCTTTCCTTGGTGGAGAACCTGGAGAAGAGTATAGAAGAGTCAGAATAACATCATTCGTATCTTTTTTTCCAGTATAACTTGTACTTAAATGGTATAGACTTTTCAAACAATTGGAGGTCAATATATACTAGATGTTTAGCTTTTTGTATTTTTAAAAATTCATCACCAGGACCACAGCACTGCAAAGAGAAGGAAAAATTGAGATAAACCCTATACCAATCTGTCTGGCCAGCGTGGTATACTAGGCCAAAACCTCCTTTCTAAGGAGAGGCCTATGTTGATGATGATGAACGATTTTTTACTATCATAACAACAAAAACAGATTTGTAACTATTAGTTAATGACAAAAACTAATATTAACAAACGCTGGATTTGGTGCAAGAGTTACTCTCAGAAATTGATTTGAATACGAATTAATAACTTAATAACAAAAGTTTGTTCGGGATTTAGTCGACAAATTGTTTTCGTTTACCCTGGTTCACCCTTTCGAGGATATAGAAGTGTATGTATTTTTCGATCACTCAGTAAGTGATCACGGCCAGTGAAACCTTGTCGAAAGGTCAGGCATCATCAACAGCCTTTAGTAGTCCACTGCTGGACATAGGCCTCTCCTCAGAAAGGAGGTTATGGCCTACTATGCCACGCTGGCCAGACGGGTTGGTATAGGGTTTGTGTCAAGGTTTCCTTCTTTTTGCACTAGTATTTTCTAGTGTAGTTTGCTCCCTTAGTCGGCTCCCACCATGACACCCACTGGATGAATAGGGATGGTGACACTCCCTATTCTTAATCCGTCACCACGCGTATTACCGTCAAGTATTACCTGATAAAAGCATATCCCTTGTCCTTGAAGACCCTGATCTCTTGGATGGTGCCGAAGGGCTGGAAGGTCTTCTGCATCAGCTCTTCAGTAAGTCCAGTGGTGAGACCCCCGCAGTAGACCGTGCAGTTGGTCGGAGAGCTCTGATTGTACACTTCGTCGAAGGTCAGGGGTTTCGAATTCACTGGAAGTGAAAATAATCATTTGATTTATTAATTCTGATAGGAACTGTAAAGAGTCTGTGATTGTTTGCTACACTAGGGTCTGTTGGTCTAGTAGTTAGTGACCCTGGCTGCTGAGCCAGAGGTCGTGGGTTCGATTCCCACCCAGGGAAAATAATTGTGTGATGAGTACGATCATTTGATGTGTGTCGTCTGGGTGTAATTTATCTATAATATGTATGTATTTAAAAATATATAAGTATGTTTATCAGCAGTCTGGGTACCATAGTACAGGCTCTGCCTAGTTTGGGATCAGACAGCCGTGTGTGATATTATTATTATTCCTACCCGTGTTTCTTTTTTGGTGGCGACGCATCACGTGGCGACGCATGACGTGTCGTGTCCTTGAAACTACACTAATGTTATAAAGTCAAAGATAATGTTTTTTGTTTGGTTGAACCGCTAATCACAGGAACTACTGGTTCGAATTGAAAACTCTTTGACTGTGAGATAGCCCATTTATTGAGGAAACCTATATACCATATAATATTTAGTTGTCCAAGCGAAGTATAAATTAAAAAAAAACCGGTCAGGTACGAGTCGAACTCGTGCGCCGAAGGTTCCGTACCTACCCAGTTTTACGTAGATTTTCGCGAAAACTTGTAAGTACCAAAATTTATCTTAATTTTCAACTTTTTTTATTTTTTGGAATTATTCCTTTGTTTGTGCTGTATGACGTTTCTTTAATTCAAATTAAGGAACATTTTGGTACTTACAAGTTTTCGCGAAAATATAAATTTGCCCATATCTTTTTATCGTGTTGACTCAGGACCTTGATTTTTGGAACGAAGTTCCTTATCGGGCTAGACGGAAAAAAATCTCACGAAAAGTTGTAACGACACTTTTTGCTATAGTAAGCTATTGTAAGCTGTGCGGCGTGCGCATGTTTCTCTGTCTGTCTCTCTCTCTCTCTCTTATAGAAAGCCGCATGTTTCTCTGTCTGTCTCTCTCTCTCTTATAGAAAGCAGCCAGATATTTTCGTTTCGTCTTTCTATTTTTACATTATATTTTAAAAAAATGTTATTATAACTGTAAAAAAATATATTACAATTCCTTCACTAATTAATCGAAAGGAACTTCGTTCCATCCGGGTGTCCCTTGACACCTCTCAAGTTTTTTTTATACACCTAATAGGGACCATAGACCTCAGTATCTGGTATAAATTTCAACTTGCTAGGTCTACCCGTTCCTTGGCAAATCAGTGGTGGCACATGGACGGACGGACAGACGGACAAGAAAGTGATCTTATAAGGGTTCCTTTTTTACCTTTTGAGGTACGAAACCCTAAAAATGGGTAAAACTTGTTCCTTTTATGAGACACATATGAATTTGCGCTGGCCAGCTATTATTAAATGAGTTTTACACTAAATACAAACTTTTCTTTAATCCAGTAATCATGTTGTAATGGAAATAACTTTAAGCCGGAAGTACGTCATGCGTCGCGTCGGAAGGCATTACAGAACCGGATATTACGATTTGCCACGTATATATATAGGAGCTTTTTTAATAGTGTTGTGACCTTACGAAAGCGGGGGAAAATTTGTTTAACGTAGGTGTTAGGGCTAATTGAACAATAAAAATTTTAACAAAAAAAAACCGACTTCAAAAACACTATTCCCAAACAAATTAATATGCACTAAAAATAATTTGCTCCTAAGAATTGAAGAGTTCCGGTACTTTGTCATGGTTCCCATGATCAGAATCTAACCAAACTCTCATCAAAGTACCCCCTTTTTTTTTTTTTTTTTTTTTTCCGTGCGGAAATCCCCTCGGATACCACCCGTCGGTGGCATGTCGGACTCGAACCGACTAAAACCGCACGCCGTCTCGGGTACTAATAGCCGGGGAACCAGGTATATCCTAGAAAGGAAGTCCCTGGTGCTCATCAAAGTACCCTTAAAGAACATCCATTCCAATAAACTCGAAATTGGTTGGCGTGATATTGAGTTATTCGTCTGTTTGTCACGAACATACTAAATGCAAATTTAAGACTTATATGGTTTTCTCATAGATGTCATTATCAGATCTGAACTAAATTAAAATGGGACCACACGGGAAGCGCCACCTTTCAAATTTTTTTTTTTCTTTTATCAAAATCTGTTCACATAGTCAAAAGTTCAGAGGTAACAAACATAAAAAAAAATACAGTCGAATTAAGAACCTCTTCCTTGAAAATAAATTGTATATATTTTCAAGTATGTTTATCAGCAGTCTGGTTACCATAGTACAGGCTCTGCCTAGTTTGTGATCAGACGGCCGTGTCTGAGATCTGTAAGGTATATTATCATGGGTTTGATTTCTTTTTCTTCCGACCTCATTCGGTGAAAAGTGAGAAAACAATTATTTTCTTTTTGCCCCCGATGCAAAAACGAAGGGGTGTTATAAGGTTGACGTGTATTTGTGTGTGTCTGTCTGAGGCATCGTAGCTACCGGATGAACCGATTTTGACTTTGGTTCTTTTCTTTGGAAGGTGAATTAGTCCGGAGTGTTCTTAGTTATGTTTGATAAAAATAGGTCCAAGATGGCCGCAACCACAAAATGGCGGATTACATATTTTTTCACAACTCCCTCAATATGGGTATCAAATGTAAGGGCTTGACTAGAAGAATACTATACTCTATGATAAATTTCAAATCCAAGATGCGAGTCGGGGGTTTTTTAAATTTTTATTTATTTTTCAAAAAAAAACAACTCTCCTACCTATGAGGTTCTTCTTTAAAAAAAAACGACGGGTTGCACTCCGGGAGTGCCGGCAGAAGTATGACAATGCGCGAATGTTCGTGTGTGTTTGTTACAGCGTGCCACGCGCATCCATGGATGGTGACAGCGTCTCGATAAATTGTCATGTTTGTGTACGATAGCGCAATATATAAATATTGTATTCTACCACATAAATGATAGTACTTTTATACTGATAATTAAAGAAATTCGTGCAAAATTATTCCCTAACCATTCCAAAATATCAACAAATGCACAACGTTAATATTCAAGTTTTCACTTCCGCCGGCGCTCCCGGAGTGCAACCCGTCGTTATTTTTATTCAGCTTAGACGTGAAAGATACTTTGACAATTTGAGTCATTTTTGAATACGAATTCCGACGCGGAACTAACGCGAGGAGACTGCTAATGAACGTACTGTGCGCTTTTGGTTTAAACGTTTTCGTAACGGAAACTTCGACTTGAATAACGTTGAATTGAAGGAGATCGTGAAAGCCAATCCGATTCAAACCACCCAGGAATTAGCGACATGTTTTAACGTTACCCTACCTACAATATTGACTCATTTGCATCAAATCAATGAGTCAGCTGTGAAGAACCTAAGTATTAAATAAATAAATAAGTTTAAAAATATCTAAAAATAGGTGCCTCATGATTTGAGTGATCTGCAGAAAGAAATGCGTGTTGAAACTTGTGTTGCCTTGTTGAATCGATACAGAAATGAAGGAATATTGAATCGTATTGTGAAGTGGATTGTTTAAGATAACCGTAAGCGAAAAAGGATCGAAATATTATCTTTTTATTCGTAAGCTTTGCTTTAGGCCACTGTTGCGACGTTTGACCTGGGGTCAGCCATTGCATTTTTCGCTTACACATCACATCAACAGCCTTTAATAGTCCACTGCTGGACATAAGCTTCTCATTAGAAAGGAGGTTTTGGCCTACTGTTCAAAGCTAGCCAGACGGGTTGGTATAGGGTTTGTGTCAAGTTTTCCTTCTCTCTGCAGTGTTGTTGTTAAGCAAGTTTAGTTTTTTCCCTTAGTTGACTCTTACAATACCCACGGGATGAATAGGGGTGGTGACAATCTGTATTCTTAATCCGTCACCACACGGATTGTCTATATACTCGTATTATATATATTAGTGTATTGTCATCGGTCCTCGATATATCTACAAAGTTTGAACGAATTCTGACCGTTTATAGTCTGTCAAAATCACGCCCAAAGGTCGGTTGCAGTAAGGGTAAATATTTTGATTAAATAAATATATTATCTCAGAATTTATCTTAGAAAAAAACGAGTTTAAATTTTTCAGTACAAACCGGCAAATTAATACTTTAACGCCTAATATTTATTCAATTTTTTTTAAGACTATTTCACTGAAAACATGATGGTTAACAACGCTACACAGTCTCTGCCCGTCCCTTAAGTGTTAAATGGCATGAAAGATGACCGAACACGAATCAGCAAAGCCGAATATCGATCTACGGGTTAAACCCCTGTTTCTAGTTCGTAAATTTTTAATAAATTCCCGGTATTATGTTCAATCGTTCTGAAATTTAAACAGAGTTAGGTTAGCTAGCTCACACTTTCCCAATCGTGGGGATAAGCATTCACTTTGATACACAGAAAACTTAAAAAAAATTAAAATAATAATTATACATTATTTTGACGTGACAACGTCTTATAAATTGGTTTGCCAAGTGACATTTCAAGAAACTGCGTTACGCTCCGCTCACGTTATGCGCTCACAATAAATCACAAAGTCGTTGTCACGTAAAACTTTCGCCCGTATACCGACTTTACAGGCAATCAATTTTTTTTTTACATTATGCACTTTTGGTGCATTGGCGGACTTAATGCCTAAGGCATTCTCTACCAGTCAACCTTTGGGTTTTAATATAAAATTGTTTTCAGTATCTACTTGCGTATGTATGTATGTATTTATATACTTTTTATAATAATAATATTAATAATAATTTCATACATCTCACACACGGCCGTCTGATCCCAAACTATGCAGAGCCTGTACTATGGTAATCAGACTTCTGATAAACATACTTATATATTTCTAAATACATACATAATATAGATAAATTACACCCAGACACAGAACAAATGATCGTGCTCATCACACAATTATTTGTCCTGGGTGGGAATCGAACCCACGACCTCCGGCTTAGCAGTCAGGGTCACTAACCACTAGACCAACAGGCCCGTTATTTATGGATTATCTATACTCTACACAAAGAAATAAAATTGAAGTGTCTTTTTGTAATGTAGGGTAGTTTTTAGCAAAGAAATCATACTTTAAGAAGGTGAAAAGGGGGGTTTAAGGTTGCATGGATAATCAAGATCCGCTGAACCGCTTTAGAAGAAATTTGGTACTTTGATTCTTGAGGAAAGACAGATGCTACTTTTACCGCAATAACCTTCATTTACGCGGGCGGACCCAAGGGCAAAAGCTCGTTATAGATAAATTACACCCAGACAGAACAAATGATTGTGTTTCTTACATAATTATTTGTCTAGGTTTGGAATCACGTACCCGGGATTTCCTTTCTTGGTTATACCTCGTTTTATTTTTTTCGTTTTTTTTTTTGATAAAAGACAACGCCCGCATTAGGAATATATATATATTCCTGTGTTGCGGGGGACTTAACAAACATACATGAAACGGACACAAAGAACACCCAGACTCAGAACAACAATTTGTGGATCTCACAAAGTGTTGTCCCATGTGGGGTTTGAACCCACAACACTCGGCGTAATAGGAAGCGGCGTGGCGACCACTTAAACCACTACGCCATCCGTGCAGTCAAACTCATTCCCTGGCTACTGGTACCCGAGACAGGATTCAATTTTTAGTAGTTTCGAGTCCGATATAACCACCCCACCGGTTGTCCAGTGGTTGATATTCGAGGGGAATCGCACTCATGGACTGGACTCGGTAATCAGAACCACTAACCAAGTGATTCTGATCACCAGGTACTTTAAATTAAGGATACTCACGCTCGTTCTTTGGTGCTGGTGGCTTCCGCGTCGCCCAGTTGGTGCGAATCGATCGAGACCCAAGCCATTGTCCATTCATGGATGTAATAGCTGATTCTGCCTCCTGTAACAAAAAAGAATTCGTATTTAAGTCACTTTGATAACAAAGTTTCGGTGTGGCGACGGAGTCTCACCACCCTATTCATCCTGTGGGTGTCGCAAGAGGCAACTAACGGAGATAACTACGCAGGACAACAGCACTGCAAAGAGGAGGAAAACTTGACACAATTTTTTTTTTAAATTAGACAACTCCCGCACTAGGACTAAATCCTGTGTCGCAGGGGAATTTACAAACATACATGAAACGGACACAAAGAACACCTAGACTCCGAACAACAATTTGTGATCACACAAAGTGTCGTCCCATGTGGGGATCGGACCCACAACACTCAGCGTAGTAGTAAGCGGCGTAGCGACCGCTTAAACCACTACGCTGTACGTGCAGTCTGGCCAGCGTGGCATAGTAGGCCAAAACTTTAAATAGAGGCCCATATCCAGCAGTGGACTTCTAAAGGCTGTTGATGATAAGAACAAAGGTTAGATGACTGATAGCTAATTGAGTTCATTTCATATACCAACTGTCACAGATTCGTCTTAATTGTGAGAGCTTTTTTTCTATTGTTTTTTTTAAAAGACAACTCCTGCACTACGAATAAATCCTGTGTCGCGGGGGACTTAACAAACATACATGAAACGGACACAAAGAACACCCAGACTCAGAACAACAATTTGTGGGTCACACACAACGTGTTATCCCATGTAGGGATCAAGTACAGCGCAGTAGGAAGCCGCAAGGTGACCGCTTAAACCACTCCTTAATCCATGCAGTACAATTGAACAGAGAGAATTAATTGGCATATTATCAGTAATCTATACATCTATACAAATAAATAAAATTGGAGTGTCTGTTTGTAATATTAAAATAACCGCTTTTTACTAAATGCATATGTATGTTTACACGGTACATATGCCAAAATAACATTCTGTATAATCTGATAAGATTCTGTTTGTTTGTTCCGGGTAATCTCTTGAACGGCTCGACCGATTTCGACGGGACTTTCACTGGCAGATAGCTGATGACATAAGGAGTAACTTAGGCTACTTTTTTTAGACTAGCTTCGCTCCGCGGCGTTGCCCGCGGTTATAACAACAAACGCGGGTAACACCGCGGGTCTCAGCTAGTTAAATATATATTAATCGTACCATTAGTGATCGTTCGGGCTGTGGTAATCTTATTTACTGGCGAAAAACAACGGACTTAACTTTGGTTTTCTGTGAGACTGTTTTATTGGATCGAGTGGGCCTAGTTAGCTCTGTAGGATTAGGGCCACCAACCATTAATAATAATAATGTAATAATATATACATTTATTTATCTCCACAAATTACAAAAATCTTAATATTTAAGTTGACAAATATATGGCTTAATTGGTAATTTGTGGGAGATCTGGAGTCCAAACTAAGCGTAAAATACAGGCCGTATTTTAGAGCTCCAGACCCCCCAAAATCAATTCACAGTAATATTATCAATGCTGTTTTTGAGCGTGGATATTTATGTATGCATGCGTGTGTGTGCGCGCGTGTGTGTGTGTGTGTTACATATATATATGTGTATACAATTATTGAGTTTAACACAGGCTACGCCACTATCTCTAGCAACTTTTCTGTTTCTAAATAGTTTAGATTGAGAAGTAGCTTTTGTATTTTGATTTGATTTGATTAGATGATTGACTTTAACACCACGCGTTCTTTGGACAAATCAATAGCCCAAACATCTCCGATCGGCTCGATCCCTTGGAGTTACGTAGAGATGTGGCTTCACTCTGCATTCTCTATCGTATATATTATGGAGAGTGCTCCGAGGAATTGTTCGGACTAATACCAGCCGCAACTTTCCGCCATCGTTTCCACACGGCAAAATTTTCATCCTCATTACCTGGATAGTTGGCGCTCCACTACTGTGCGCTTTTAAAGACACTTTTTGACCCGCACAACCAATCTGTTGAACGGGTTATCGTCTGCGGTATTTTCAGACCGATACGACCAAATCTTCAAGAAAAGAGCGTACTCCTTCCTAAAAAGCCGGCAACGCGTTTGTGACTCCTGAGTTGCAGACGTTCATGGGCGGCGATGGTCATTTTCCATCAGGTGACCCGTCTGCTCCTCTCTCTCTTTCTGCCTTTTGCACTTCACCGACATACTGTAACACATTTATTCACGAAACTTTCACCACGGGTTACAGGAAAGCGAGAGGATGGATTCAACATAAAAAAGCAAATATTCCAGACCCTGCTATTCATTGTTGCCTAGTACGAGGTTTTAACAGCATCATGCATGAATCAATACTTATAAATAATATATTCAACTTCACCCTTCCGTATGTGCATAATTAATTAACACTGTGTCATACACTGTGTTACATATAGAAACAATGTTGCTTAGCTTGCTCACCAAATTAAACGCTGTTGGAAAACGAATTTCTGTGTAATTATGATCAATGACAGGTGTTCGGTGTTGCATCGAATGAAAACGATGTTTGGAATTCAAATATTTGAACGAGTTGTTATTTTATTCAAATCAAAATGAAATGTAACCTTTGTTATTTATGCTATCCTGGTACCTGGTATGAAATTTATTGGTGTTCTTTTTGTTTTTTTAATTTTCGAATTTCTATTTTTTTTGTGCTTAAATGACTACATACAAATTTTGTTATCAATTAATCTTCATTGTATCGTAACAGTAATTGGACTCTTTGTTATTTATGCTATCCTGGTATCTGGTGCAACATTTGTTATTTCTTGTTATTTCAGGAAGGGGAAGACCGCCTATTTGTCCAAAAAAATGGCTCTCCCGCGGTAAGGCTTTGACAATTGTTCATTCAAATACTTACACCACACAAATGGTGATTAAATCGATTTCGTTGATATTTAGTTTATCTTTGTGTTAAAAAAACATTTAAAAAAGTGTGTGTGTGCAATTCACAAGCGACAGAAGCGACTTCAGAAAAAAAAACTTGCCCACTAAGGAAGCATTTTTTAAATTAAACGCGAACGAAGACGCAGGTACAGTGAAATTAGTCTCAAGAAATTTTTGCATATGTAGTGGTGTGTATATTACTCAGATCTTAGAGCGCGTTTCCACTATATCGTTCTGGCCTATACAAAAATGTTTCGATATCCTAACATTACTATTTAATTTTATACTTATCCCTAGCAACACACTGATTTTTGTTTTCAATAAAAACAAGTTTTTATTTTAAAGAAAAAGGTTTTGACTTTAAAAAAAAACGGTGTGTGTGCGATTCACACACGATAGAAGTGAAACTTCAAAGAGGAGAGACCGATATTTAAATTTTTTTTTTCCTTTCATCTAGGTTTTTAAAACTCCGGGGGGTCTACGGAGGGGTCAAAATTTTTGTTATTTTTGGCCTAGGAAGCACCGTTTCCGAGATATTTCAATCTAAAGCAAAAAATCGTCACTTGATAGTGGAAAGTGGAAACACGCACAAAACCAGAATAAACCAGTTTACGCTGTCCGCTACCATACACTACTACAAACGCAAAAATTTCTCCAAGCTAAGTTACCTGTACCAGCTAGTATTGAACGAAAAGATAAAAATATTCACACTGTTAAAATATATATTAAAAATATTATGTAATGTATTCTATCTCATTCTCTCGCCGACTTAATCCTATACATTTATGTGTTTGTTTCTATTAATAAAATGACCGTGTGCATTCAAATGACAGACTGACAAATTTATTTAAAAGTCACATTCCAAACATGGTTATGCTACATGAACACAGATGTCGCACCTATAGCATACATGAACCAATCACAACATTTTGATATTCCTACATAATATCAATACCCCCACTATATCAAAATGTTATACAGTACAAATACAACCTACTAAGACACAAATTAAATACATTTATGTTGCACCCCCATCAGTTCCAAAAACTTATAATGTTTTACACAGCTTAAAGATTTTGTTAGAACATCTGCAGCCATATCAGCTGTTGGTAGGTACTCTACTTTAACAATGTTCTTATAAATACACTCTCTTCCAAAATGATATCTAATATCTATATGTTTAGATTTACAATGAAAAACTGTGTTATATAATAACTTATGGGCACTTTGATTGTCATTAAATATAAGAATAGAATCAGAGCAACCAGTTATTTCTTTATACAAATTTCTTAAGTAAACAGCTTCCTTACAACTTTCGGAGATACCAATATATTCTGCTTCTGTGCTAGACAGAGCTACATTATTTTGCTTTTTACTACTCCAAGAAATTACACCTCCTGATAGGCTGAAACAAAATCCGGTGTATGATTTTCTATCTAAAGTATCACTGCCCCAATCCGCATCTACATAACCAATTATATCCTTATTACCTGTACCACAATATTTAATACAATAATCTTTAGTTCTCTTTAAATATCTTAAGATCCGCTTAGCATGAGCCCAATGCTCTCTACTATAGCAATTGTTAAACTGACTTAGGTATCCTACTGAGAATGCAATATCCGGACGTGTAAGTATGGCAAGGTACATTAAACAACCAATTAATTGCTGGTATGGTAAACTCTTATCACAACTACTATGTTTAGCCAACTTCAGTCCACTTTCCATAGGAGTATCTATAGTTTTACAATTTTCTAAATTAAATTTTAACAATAACTGTTCTATGTACTGACTTTGATCTAATGTTAACACTTTATTTTCTTTATCATAACACACTGACATACCAAGGCATTGTTTTATTTGGCCTAAATCTTTAATCTTAAACTGAGACTCTAATACACACTTTAACTTATCAGTTTCTTTAGAACAATTTGAAAAAATGAAGAAATCATCGACATATAACGCAATTATAGTCATATTTTTATCTTCATTCTTTACATATAAACAAGGTTCATATTTAGATTTTAAATAACCATTTTTTGCTAAACAAATATCTACTTTGTTAAACCACATTCTTGATGACTGCTTCAATCCATAAATGGCTTTCTTTAACTTTAAAACTTTA